TATTTAATCTTGAATTGTGAGTTCTAACTTATCGCTTCAAAATAAACCAAATAAATATTTCACAATATGCAAGAAAAAACAAACTGCCCTCACCTACTTAACAACCCCATATTTCTCTATTATTTTTACTCACAACATCAAGTTAAAAAACTTATTTTACTTTTGAATCATTTAAATTCCTGTTTCAAATTGCATGAACAAAATTTCTGATCTGATAATGAATTTTATTAAACATAGCAATAAATTCTGCTCACAAACAGTATGAACAGGACATTATCCTCAGGCTTTGCAAACTGTCAGTTGCATTAAAACAAACATTTGCCTTAACACAGGAGAATCAGATCAATGTAACACTTCCATCTCACTCCACACAGGATACAAAGACATGCTGCTAAGCACACGGGGAAACAGTTTCCAACTCCTGTCTTTTTCTTCTTTCAGTTTTTTTTAAGTGCCAACCTAAAAACTCTAGTTTATTCAACTCTTGGAAGTATGACAAAATTCATGAAAAATTAACACAACTTATTACTGTAAGTTTAAGTTTCATAAACTCACGTTACCCTGCAACCTTGGATGGCTGAGGGTAATGTATAAGATGATCTTCCCTCAACGTCTGATGCTGTGGTATGAGAAAGACGAGATACACACGTTGAGCTTCCTTCATATTCAACCGGAAGATTTATTCTTCTTCTGTTATAAACACACTTCATATACAACATACTTCAGGTATCGCATACTTCAGGTAGAGAACCATTAACTTCATTACATCAGAAATGACTGTAATATATCTTTAAACCAAACAATCATTCTTTTAACATGCTCTATTTAGCATTATGAATTCTATCAATTTACAAAATTAATTCACAAATAGCTTTTACTTCTCTAAACCATATTAATTTTGTAGTTAGTGCTTTAAATTCAATACCTTGTCTTCTTTTGAGACCTCTTGTATTTAACTTTCAAAATAAAAATATGTAAAATATATTTTAACATTTAAGCGTTTTAGCTTTTAACAATGTCCATTATTTCAGTAAAACAATAAGATTTTACCTCTTGCATAAACAACTATTCTTTCAATATAAACTGAAAAAGGCCTCGGTACTCAGTTTCACACGAAGATATAGTTTATCTGGTTTTTCAACAAACCCATAAAAAGAATCACTTAAAATACAATAAAGAAACCAGAACAATGTCCTTTGAGTGAGAACTCTCTCAAAAAGTGCAAAATACAAGTTCAATTGCACTCCACAGTCCTTCAGCTAGCTCTCACACACGTGTACAGGCCCGCTAGCATTAGCTCCAATTAGCCTTCAGAACAAGTCCCGTTTTCGTACACAATAACAATTACAAAACGAACTTTGCGACTCAATAGTTGAGATTCGATTCAAGAACCTTTTCAACTCTTCCAAAAAACTAATATATATGCATAAAACCATATTTTTACTGACCTGTGGTATGAGCTAGACGAGACACGTTGAGCTTCCTTCACATTCAACGGAAGATTTATTCTTCTTGTGTGCTCAATTTTCTCTATGCCACCAACGCGGCAGCGCCCCTAGCGGTTGTGTGTGGAATTGCATAGGACTAACTAAAATGACACTAAAGAACTTAGTACAATGAGAAATTTAAGAAACCAAAATAAAAATTATGTTGGGGTGCCTATTTTCTTACTTATTGTTTTTATTTACTAAGAACTCGTTTTTCACCCCTCTACACACACATTTAGGTTCAAAATCAAAAACTCGTTAAATTTACTGACTTGAAAAATGAAAGATAGTAGACACAACTAATAGCAGGTCAATTTTTTTGTACTGTAGTCAAGTAACTGCCAATGCATTTTCAAGAATTGCAAAGGGCTTGAAAATGCCAGATGCATTTTGTGCTGATAGTAACTTATCTTGCAGAATAAGATATTAGGTGTATTACCTAATACATGATACCTTACATGACTTGTGTAAGCGACCATGTTAGAGTTGTAAATGATAACTAGTCATCATGTCTGTCAACTTGCTAAATAAAGGATGTGTAAATAAAAAAGCTGTGTTGTTCCAGAGATAACAGTAGAAGCCATCATGGCTTGACCAGAAAGGGAGATGCCAGGCACAGAAGTGATAACACTGCATGTTACTTCAAGAAAAATTCAGACCCCATTTGACATTTGTTTGATTAATCTATGCTACACTTTCTAGACTGTCTGTCAGATGCTCTGGTAACTGCCTGACATCACTTAATGTTCTGCATCACACTCTGTTGCATTATTCTTTAGCTCTGTCAACCATTCACATCTCCATCTCCAATTTCTATGAGGACAAAATCACAATGAAATTTCTCAGTATTCTTTGTCTGCTTATGTTTTAACTTTGGTTGAGCTGTACTGTACAACTTTACATTAAATGTAATCTAAGGCAGGTTAATGGAATATTTAATAATTTCTATTTATATACGACTTCATTACAGTTGAGTCAAATATAAATTAGTTTATTATAAAAAGATTTCTAGAAAACACAAAATACTGCAAATAAATAATGATAATTATAAAATTGATACCAATTACACTTTTCCTTATTTAACATATTTTTTCACACATTGACATACATTTATGTAAGATTAATCTTACTTTATGGTAGTGAGTCACAGTTTGTTGCTGATTATATTTTGAAGAAACAACTTCACCAATAATGTTCGTTAACAGTAGATTGTAACTGAATGCAGTAAAAGTAACTTTGCTTTTAATAAGGTAAATGGTATTCTATTGCTAATTTGTGGTTCTATTCTTTACTACTATAAAGCTGAAGTAATCCCGCCTGATTCCATCTGTCTGTCCACAACTGTGACTCTGTCCATGATGCTGAGTCTTAGTTCAGCACCACTAAGAATACTATTAGTTCCTGAAAGGTAAAGAGACCCCGATTATTAGTCATAACTTAAACATAATCTTTGATCAATGTCAGTGACTGTAACCCTGGTTCCTACGGAAAAGGATTAGGGCCACTGGAAAAAAAAAAAACAAACAAACAAACAAAAAAAACAGTTCTGGGGAATTTTTTTCCCCAGTGGCCCTAATCCTCTTCTATAGGTTCCTAACTGTGAAAAACCCAAAGATATCCTTTTGAATTTAAAAACATCTGAGACGATGCTTTAAATTTTGGAAATGTTACCCTGCTTGTTGCAAGTAAATGAGCGTAAAAATATTCAAACCACAAACTAAATAATGAATAAGACTCTGAAAGTCACGAGAGCAACACTGAGCGCTAAGGCTGTCTGAACTAATTTTGCTTTATAATGTAAGATAATAAGGTTGCATAAGTTGTAATGACAACGGGGATATTTTTGTGTCAAACGAGAGGCAGGAGAAAATTGTATTTCTCTTTTAAATGAAGAGTAGTTAAGAGACCACAGATAGATAGAATTAGCTGCGACTCACCTATGTTTATGTTACTTGGGAAACTTGTGCCGTTGCAAATTCCAGGCAGCAGCAGCAGCAGCAGCAGCGGGGGGACCGGAAAACTCTGCAGACCCATGTTTCCTCCAGCAGCAGCACCGACAGGGGACCCGGAGCAACCTGCGTAATCCCATTCACGCCGTGGCCGGCAGGGATCCACCGCAGCACAGCCACACGCGCTTTCCGCTCCAACCGCTTTTATTTCTCTGTGTTATTAACATCCATACAGTTGGAGCGCAGCGCTCTGCTGCAGCTTCGGCTCTGAGTCTCTTACTGCTTAATGTGTATCCTCACCTCCTCTCTTTCTCTACCATCTCTCCTCCCCTTCCCAGTCTCTCTCTCTCTCTCTCTCTCGCTCTCTCTGTGAAAATCATGAATTTTCTGCCTTCTTTGATCCAGATATTTCACCTCAAGTCAAACACGCTCCTGAACAAACCGACCCAGCAGCATTTTTCTCAGAATCCGCATAGACACCCTGACAACACCCTTTGTTCTAAACAGATTGTTTTTAAATTTGTTGCAGATATTGTTAACTAAGCAGCGTCTGGAAGGCAGAGGTGTCCAATTTTCCTGATATCTATCTATCTATCTATCTATCTATCTATCTATCTATCTATCTATCTATCTATCTGATTTTTTTTTCGGCAACAATATCAGAAAGTGAAATTCATATGACGATTTGTTTTTTACAAATACAGTATTTAAAACTATTATATCTTATAATTTTAATATTTATGGATTACAGATAAAAACCCAAAATTAAGTATGTCAAAAATTTAAGATTAAAAAAGTAACATTTTGGAAACTTTGGTGTCACATTCCATTCATCTACTTAACTCAAAACACATCCACAAATGTTTCTGATGCCCAGAAACCTGCAGAAGGTCATTGCTAAAGAAGGTGGTTGTTCACAGAGTTCTATATCTAAGCATATTAATAGAAAGATGGGTGGAAACAAAAAGTATGACAGGAAAAGGTGCCTTGAGAGTAATCAAAATCAAATAACCAAAGTCTCCCTTTCAGAGAATGTAAAGTTTTCATCTTATTTGGAAATTAAGAGTGTAGAAGCTCAATTTGACTCTCATCCACACACAATGACACCTGGACTTGTTATTCTGACATGCTCATTGACACAGATATGTACTTTTGTTACAAATTCCACTTAATGTTCTGCAAATGTTCAGGATAATTTGAGTAGTGCACCAAAGCAAGAGAGAAAAACTGTAAGAGATCACCTTTCATGCAATGAAGTACACTCATCGCCCACTTTATTAGGTACACCTGTCCAAGTGCTCATTAACACAAATGTTGAATCAGCCAATCATATGGCAGCAACTCAATACATTTAGGCATGTAGACATGGCCAAGACAATCTGCTGCAGTTCAAACTTAGCATTGTGTCAACGCCACAGCCTACCTGAGTATTGTTGCTGACCATGTCCATCCCTTTATGACCATAGTGTATCCATCTTCTGATGGATACTTCCAGCAGGACAACACGCCACGTCATAAAGCGTGAATCATCTCAGACGGGTCTGTTGAACACGACAATGAGTTCACTGAACTGGAGTGGCCTCTACAGTCACCAGGTCTAAATCCAATAGAGAACCTTTGGGATGTGGTGGAACAGGAGATTCACATCATGGATGTGCACAACTGTGTGATACTATCATGTCGACATGGACCAGACTCTCTGAGGAATGTTTCCAGTGCCTTATTGAATCTATGCCACAAAGGATTAAGGGAGTTCTGAAGGCAAAAAGGGGTCCAACAAAGTACTAGCAAGGTGTACCTATAATAAAATGGCAGATGAGTGTATATTGCAAAGCAGTTTTATAAAATTTAAAAAAAAAAAAAAAAAAAGAAATAAGGGGTACTGAAGGAATTATATTAAATAATAATTCTGATTTTTTTGTAACATTCAGTGGTGTTTTTTTTAACCTTCGCAATTTTATTTTAACAATGAATCGAAAATTATAGTGCTGCACTTTTAACTATCGAGATGATCATCCTTTCCATCTGCTAGATCAGGGTCTGATCTGTATCTGTGGAGATGCTTTACCTTATCAAATGACGAAGTATTGTTCTATTTTTTGTTTCATTCTTTTTTTGAGTGTCTCCATGAAAAACACTGACTATCCTGGCTCCCAGGGTAAATTTGGTCTACAACCAGCCTCCAAACCTAACTCCTTATTTTTATAAATATTTTGTTAATACTCTTTAAAATACCACAATTTGCACATTACTTTATATTTTTGGCAGTGAAAACAAATCTTGAATATTAAATCAAGTGTGTTAGTATTTTTTACACTTGCTTAATTAAAGCTTAACTAATTTATTAGATGGTTCTTTTCTACTTTTACTCAATTAAAAAATTTTGAACTTTGGAGCATAATTTTGAGGTCCTTTAACCCTCCATGTATTAACGATTGCTCTATGAATCACTTTTTTAACAAGAAACACTGCCATAAAATAATGTCCATTGCTGCAGCGGCCATCCCACCCC